TTGATTGACAATCTTACCAAATGGGTCAAGAAGCAGATTTCGTCCAACGTGTCTATTGTGCTTACTTTAGATGGATTAGATTATATCTTAAAGTAAGGAATACGTTGTAGATTTCATTTTATTTTCTAAAAGTAAGTTCCAGAATTGTATTTCCTTCCATTAATCGATTACTGTAGTTATGATCCCCATAAAGCTAATTTTTTCCGTTAAATTTTTACGATTATTTGAAAGTTGGTGATTTTGTGCACTATGCTCACTACGCACTATGTTCACTACGCAATATTTACAGCAGCACACTACGGTAAGAAATCTACGGCAAAATCTCATTATTTTAAACCTATATAGCCCTGGGCTAAGTGATTTGTACCATGACAATTTTAGATCACAACGACGACAATACTTTAAAATGAAATAAATTATTTGTTAAATGCAGGAGTAAATCTTATAAGGGTACATTAATGATAATCTACACTTGTTATATTTTTTTCTGTTATAAGAACATCTATTTATAAGCCCTACTTATTACGTAACATAAGCTTTAAGTACTGCCAAAGTTTTATCCGTGTGTTTTGGGTAAACCTAAAAGACTGAGTACTTCCCGAAGCTGTTTATAAGTTTTTATGGCCCATAGGTTAGCTTGAACACAATGTTTCCTTTCAGCTTGAGTACTTATGTGACACATAAATATGGCGTTTTAGTAGTACAAATTACTGATTGTGTTTCTATTTTTTTCATGAATTTATATTTAACTGATTTGAGTCCGCACACATCTTTGCACCCAAATGGAAGGATTTTAAATGTGTTTAATAAGCACAAATAAGACCTAATATTTTATATGTAATGATTTAACTATCTACATACATATTTCACAATGATGGTTCTCTTCACGTGTTTTTGTTAAATATAAAACAAAGAGCGAGTTGCACATAAACGCATGTCAATTATTTTATATCATAGTTTATAATCTTTGGAAGAGTTTTAAGCCAATATTAAATTAAATCGTAAAATAGAGAACAATGATGGATGTGACAATACATCATCACCGCAGACCAATATCGTTCCACAGTGGCCATGTCTACATTGTTGTGGTGACAACACATGTTGATGACCACTGATACAAAACAAGCGCTGATTCCTAGGGACTAATTAATTTAACATATAGTTATGTAAGTGGTCAATTAATAATTTATGATATACATTAATATATTTTATCAAATTGATTGTTTGGAGTTGTTTTGATTTTATTTGATTATTAAATATTTAATAGTTTTAATTGAAATCGTAGTCCACATAAGGAAAATAATAACGTTCTATTTTAACGATTTTAGTATTTTAACGTGTATTAATTATCTTAGTTGTATTACTTATTTCTGAATAGCTTCCTAAATCGTCTTAAACAAATAGTTACGGAAATTTATTTGTATGTATTTTGATTAGCTTCTACAAAAAAACCTTTTAATTTCTGTTTATATGCATTGAATGTATTTTTGTGGGTTTAAATATATAAGTGGGCGGAAATAGTATCCATACTTGGAAATATTATACGTGATCGTATACAACTAGATTTGATTTGATATCCCAGGTTTGTTTTCTTCCTATCTTTGAATATTAACCATTATAAAAAATTACAAGAGATAACGTTTAAGATCTCAAGAGAACAGTATGTTTTACTTAACTAGTGAAACAGCTTCTGTAAAGGCAATTGTAGGAAAACTGACTAACTTGACATTTCATGAATAAATGCCACCCTTATTGCAATACTATGGTAACTTAAAATGTGGGTTTCTTATTATTATTTTACTGAGTGTAAAAAAAGACTTTTATTTCAAATTATATTCAACATTTTAAAATAAAAACCATATTATTGGTTTTAAATGAGTACCATATATAAAGTATAGTGGTTTATCACGGTGAATAAACTATTTTAACAACTTAAATATAATCTATACAGACGAGGAAACAGTCATTCCTTAAAGTATTAGTTTCCTATGTATATTTTATAACTACAAAATAACATTAAATTCTCATATTTACACGTTTTACATATTTACACATTTGAGTGATATGCGAATTGCGTTTTTAATTTATTTGTGTATTCATATTTATTTATTTACATAAAGTTTAATATATTTATTGTTGTTACTGTATATTTATAATCAATCTGTAAACAAATCATAACATTCTTTTATTTTTTTATGTCTTTGTTTTGGAGATTTTTCTGAAACTGATAAATAATAAAATATTACACATATCACACAAAAGTACAATAGGACGAAAAAACAGACTTTGAGTGTCATATTATGCTACCTCAATTTACAAAGTACTATTTTAAACGTATTTTACCATATATTTTATGCTCTTAGATGTTATAATACATTGTAAAAGTATTCGGAGTTTAAAGCTAAATAAAAATCACTTGAGTTTACCAAAAAATTGAGAATCTAGGCCACTCTTTGATAGGAATTAAATTATTGGAAAGTGGAAATGAGCAATAGTAATTCCAGAATATTATTTATTCAATGTTGACATTTGGTAAAAAGCAGTCTCTATCCAAAGGGTTGGAATTATTTATCAACATGGATGCAGAAATGTGTTTGAATAAAGTGGAATGAATAAAGGATTGGTAAAGATAACATCAATTGCAGTTGCCCTACATAGAGATTCAAAATGCTTCCTTTTCTTACATCCATCGATGTGATTTATTCTGATGGTATATCATGTTCTGGAGTACCTTTTTTTTCAATACGGTATTTTAAATTGTGTATTCCTAAAAGGTTGGGAGGTTTCATAGAATATAATACAAATGGAACAGAATATATAGTGTGTAAATCAAGTATGGAAACGAATCTGCATTTTTAAACCGTATTAGATAGAAATATTCTGTTTGTGGCATTGATTGTTAACGAAGGTTACAGGATTGCTTACATTAAAAATATTGTTTAACCCCCCAAATAGGGTAGGTGGTAGGGGTGACTTAATTTTTCCAAATAGCAACCTCTATTGAGTGGCCCTTAATTTAAGAGTAGTTTTAAATATAAATACAATTATACAAACCCGAGGTAGATATCTCACCACTAGTCAAAATGGCAGGTATTCAAACACCTTTTTGATTAAAAAACACCCATTCCACCAAAGGTGAGATATCTAACTTGGGGTTGCGTCACTGAATTCCTTAGACAACCGATAAAAATTATGGTTCACTCAACAGGGGTTGCTATTTGAAAAAATAAATCACCCCCTACCAATAAATACGATTTTGGAGTGTCTGCCATTTTGGCTAAGGGTGAGATCTACCTCTGGTTTTCGTCATTGGGGTTCACTTGACAAACCCTTCAAAATGAGGAATCACAAAGGCATTGCTATTAAAAATATTTCAACCCTTACCCACCACTTTGTTAGGGGAGTTAAAAAGTGGTTTTTGATGTAAAATATTGCGGGACCTTTGTTAATGTTATAAATGAAAAAGGAATATTCATTTTATTTAAATTAGCCTATAAGGAAATCCAGAAGAAATATATTTAGTTAGTATTTGCAAGAGGCAACATGATTTGGCGGAAGCAAAGTCTTACATTAGTTATTACAATAGAACAATAGATTCCAGTGACCGATAAGAATCCCCACTACCCTTGACCACGCAGAAATCGTCAGTCTACAGTAGATGACAGGTACGTCTAGATGTCGTTTCCGCCTGTTCATTTTTCCAGTATAATTCCATTATATTTTAGTGCGGCCATAAGCCTAGTTTTCATATTAAATATATGTTTAACTATTTCTCAAAGTATAACAGTGGCGACGAGGTATTTTTAATCGAATTTCACTCGTGCAAAAGTGTTAAAATCAGTGTTTAAAGTTTTGCATATTTCATGCAAAGATTGGTCGAAAATCAGCCATTTTGGTGACAAGTAGCGGTTGCAAATAAATTTATGCCGCAAGTGTTTACATCCAAGATAGGTTATGTTTTGAAGTTGAAGATGTCAATTTACGTTGATTGAAGTATATTTTCGATTCTGAAGTGTGATTTACTGTAAGTTATTTAATTTCTATGAGTAAATATGTCTTCCAAACAAGTAATTGGTAAGATAACAGAATTTAATGAAGAACTTGAAAGTTTTGAAAACTATTCTGAACGCTTGGATCATTTCTTCCAAATCAACAGTATCAAGCCTGAAAATAAGGTTTCTTTTTTTATTTCTATTATGGGTCCTACCCTTTATACAACTCTGAAAGATCTTATTCACCCAGTTAAGATAGGTGATGCAACAGCTACTTTTGATTTTATAATTAAGGCTTTGAAAGCTCACTTTGTGCCTAAGGTTAATACAACATATGAACGCTTTATTTTCAACAAAGCTTCTCAAAGAGAGGGGGAGAGTATATCTGAATACTCTGTTAGGCTTAAAAAGCTAGTTTCAACTTGCAACTTTGGAGATTTTCTGGATGAGGCTCTGCGAGATAGATTTTTATGTGGACTAAAATCATCTCAAATCCAAAGCAAACTTCTTGCCGAGGGTACTAAATTAGATTTTCCCAAAGCACTTGAGCTTTCTCTACTCATTGAAAATGCAGACAAAAATGTCAGGTCACTACATCCTGATTCTCATATAGGCCTTTGTGCCGAAGTAAACTTTGTCAAGAAATCAAACAAGATAGGCCTACGTAATTCAAATCCAAGACCTCAAATGTCTAAAGACTCTTACATTCCAAAATGTTTCCGCTGTGGGAAATCCCATGATCCCAAGAATTGTCATTTCATTGATGCAACCTGTTTTTATTGTAATAAAAAGGGGCATCTAGCTAGTGTATGCAAATCTAAAGGTAATAATAGGCAGAGGCCTAAGTTCAAATCACATGGTAAGGTAAACCTATGTGAGTCTGATAGTGCAGATGAAGAATTGTCCCAAGATCAGGGTCATGCATTGTATACCGTAGCCTATGCAGGTAATGACGGTAAAATAAATAGTTTTACTACTCAAATGATTTTGAATGACGTTCCAGTCGAAATGGTCATCGACACTGGTGCAGTGGTGACCGTAATGCCTGATTCTGTGTTTTATGAAAAATTTCAGGATAATTTGCCAATATTGGAATCTTCTGGTATTAAATTAAAAACCTATACTGGTGAAAAAATCAACTTTGTTGGTGAGTTTAAGGTTAACGTCACAACTCAACAAGGAGATCTACAGCTACCTGTGGTCGTTGTGAAAAATACGGGACCGCAACAGCCTACGCTCATGGGGCGTAATTGGATTGAGAAGATCAAATTGGACTGGAGTGGTGTGAAGCCTACACGCAGTGAAGACTTGACGGTGCACCAGCTTGGAAATGGTGAGTTCGTTCCAAATATTATTTCAGATTTTAAGAAGAGATATTCTGATGTTTTTGATGAATCAATCGGAGAAATTAAAAATATGTCGGTGGACATTGTTTTGAAAGAGGATGTCAAGCCTGTGTTTTGTAAAGCACGAAACGTGCCTTATGCACTCAGATCTGCAGTCGAGAATGAACTCGAAACCTTGCAGAAAAATGGGGTAATTTATCCTGTGCTACAATCGTCATGGGCAACACCTATAGTAGTCGTTCCAAAGCCGAACAACAAAGTAAGGCTTTGTGGGGATTTCAAGGTCACTCTAAATCCAAATATTAGGACGGACCACTATCCTCTTCCGAACCCCGAGGATATTTTTTCCAGTATAGCGGGTGCTAAGTTGTTCACTAAACTAGATTTGTCCGCTGCGTACAATCAACTTAGAATCAATAAACCTTCACAGGAATTACTGACAATTACCACACACAAGGGATTGTTTCGCTTTGCTCGCCTCCCGTTTGGTATCACGAGTGCAGGTGCACTTTTTCAACTAACAATGGACAAAATCCTACAAGGATTAGGGAATACCAAGGCGTATTTAGACGACATTTTGATCTACTCCCAAAATGTCAAGGAAATGACTCAAAGAGTCGATGCGGTTTTGCATCGTCTCCATGAATATGGCGTGAAAATTAACTCAAATAAAAGCGAGTTCTTCAAGGATCGTATCACGTTCCTAGGGCATTGCCTAGACCAACAAGGCATCCACCAAAGCAAGGCACTTACGGATGCAATCGTAAATGCACCTAAACCTGAAAATGTATCGCAACTTAAATCATACCTAGGTTTGCTCAACTACTACGGAAAATTCCTGCCTAATCTGTCCACTATGCTACAACCTCTCTATAAACTGCTTCAAAATGATGTAAAATGGGAATGGTGTGATAAGTGCCAAAATGCTTTTGAAAATAGTAAAAAAACTCTTACTTAAGAACAATGTACTCATGCCGTATGATCCTAAACTAGATATTGTCGTAACTTGTGACAGTTCGAGCTATGGAGTAGGATGTGTTTTAGCTCATCAATTACCAGATGGTAGGGAGCGCCCAATCGCTTTTGCGAGTCGCACTCTGACTAAGTGCGAGATCAAGTACAGCCAAATTGAGAAAGAGGCGCTCGCACTTTTATTTGCTGTGAAGAAATTTCATAATTTTTTGTATGGACGCAGATTCACCTTAGTGGCCGACCATCGACCACTAATCTTTCTTTTGGGTCCAACCAAAGCAGTACCAACCTTAGCTGCGGCCAGAGTTCAAAGGTGGGCCTTAACGCTCTCTGCGTATGACTACACCATCCGTTACAAAAGGGGAGTTGAAATATCCAATGCTGATTGCCTCTCACGCCTTCCGTGTGACAGCAGCACTAACAATGACTTAGGCCTAGAGGAAGGTGAAGTAAATTTTTTCAGCAATGTAGACCAGCTGCCTGTGACTCATAGGGAGATCGGATTGGCTACCAAGTTCGACCCAACACTATCAAGAGTCATGGAATACACAACTAATGGATGGCCTCATCATACTGAAGATCCGGCTCTGAAACCTTACATGGACAAAACCTTACAACTGTCTACTGAGAAAGACTGCCTTTTATGGGGGAGTAGGGTGGTGATTCCACCAACACATCGGAAGGAGGTTCTTTTAATGCTTCATGCTGAACACCCGGGAGAATCCAAGATGAAGGCACTTGCAAGAAGCTACGTCTGGTGGCCAAAAATCGACCAGGAAATAGAGGAAATGGTGAAAGAATGTAAGATTTGCCAAGTTACAAGAAAGTCAGCAACCGTAGCACCACTTCAACCGTGGTCCTGGCCGAAGCATAATTGGCAGAGGATTCACCTTGACTTTGCTCAGTATGAAGGCAAAGATTTTTTGTTGATAGTAGACAGTCACTCAAAATGGATCGAGGTATTCTTTATGTCATCGACAACCTCTAACAAGACAATCGAAAAACTACGTCATTGTTTCGCAGCCTATGGTTTACCTTGTACCGTAGTCACCGACGGAGGCCCTCAGTTCACATCAGCTGAGTTCAAGGAGTTTTTGAGGTCAAATGGGGTACACCATGTGTTTTCGCCTCCGTACCATCCACCATCGAACGGATTGGCGGAAAGAGCTGTCCAGACGGTCAAAGATGCTTTTTTGAAACAAATGCTTCACGACTCGGCCCATAAGACAAATCGAACCTTGCAACATCGCATAGATTCATTCCTGTTTTCTTATCGGAACACTCCACATTCTACAACTGGAGTCACACCATCCGAAGCCTTTTTCAAATTTAAGCCAAGGACACATCTCAGCCTTTTAAAACCGCATCTGGCTAACGACATGAACTTAAAGCAAGATAAAATTGTAAGATCTGCTAATGCTCATAGAGGCAAACCACGCTCATTCAATGTTGACGATCATGTGTTCGTTCGAACCGTCCGAAATGAAAATGTAAATTGGCACTCTGGTGTGATTACTAAAGTCATTAGCCCAATGACATATTTGGTTAGAGTTGATGGTAAAACCAGATTTGTTCATGTTGACCACCTGCGTACGGACGACACCAAAGAAGAACAACCAGATGATGACGACATACTTGTACGTTTTCCAAGGGAAATCTTTCAACCGAGTCCAGACAGAAAAAAACCATCAGAAATAGAAACACCACAAATGAAACATAAATCACCAGTCAACACTCCAGTTACGTCTCCCAAGGAAACAAACGTAAACCCGGACAAGACTTATGACACTGAGGCTGTGCGTCGATCGCAGAGGGTTCGACGCTTACCTCACAGATTTAACTTGTAAATAAACATGAAGAGACCCCCCACCTTGTATATATAAGAAGAAAGTTTTTTTTAAGGGGGGAGGAATTGTTATAAATGAAAAAGGAATATTCATTTTATTTAAATTAGCCTATAAGGAAATCCAGAAGAAATATATTTAGTTAGTATTTGCAAGAGGCAACATGATTTGGCGGAAGCAAAGTCTTACATTAGTTATTACAATAGAACAATAGATTCCAGTGACCGATAAGAATCCCCACTACCCTTGACCACGCAGAAATCGTCAGTCTACAGTAGATGACAGGTACGTCTAGATGTCGTTTCCGCCTGTTCATTTTTCCAGTATAATTCCATTATATTTTAGTGCGGCCATAAGCCTAGTTTTCATATTAAATATATGTTTAACTATTTCTCAAAGTATAACAGTTAACATTCAATTACATAAACAGAATACTGGTTTAAAATACACTTTTTTATACTTAATTTACACACAGTATATCATAACCTAGCCCAAGAACATCCAGTCAAAAAATCACTAAATAAATCATCAAACTGTCAACATTTTGAAGTGAAACTATTTTCCCATTTAATGCCATATCCTAGAAAATTATTAAATATCATTAACTTACTGATACGTATAGAACGTGTGTAATTTTGTGACAATGTACATTAGTTTGTAGTTATAGAAAATTTAGCCTAGTCTAATGGAATTAGTTTGGGAGATTTACACGGTCTGTTTCATTCCACACAATTCAAACTATAACAACATTCAGTTTCAGTTTTGTAATATAAGGCGAACTAAATGTTTTGCACCAATACTCAAATAAAGGATAGTTATATTTTTCTCACGCCGTAAGGGTAATATGAATAGGTAATGTGGGGATTTACACAACCTAACTAAAACCATTACATGACATGACCAATCGCCATCTAGTGATAAGCCCATGTATTTTAGATGTACATAATTATATTATTAAGATCTAACCTATTTGGTTTTAGACATCATATTTTTTATTCAAAAACTTATTAGCAAAAGTTTGTGGTAATAAGTATCGATTAAAAAGGCATGAGTTGTCTGGTTCAAGGCTCAAAGACGTACATTTTTTATATTATTATTTGGAATAGCGATTAGATTTCACAGCTTTACTTGTATTAATATCCTATTTTACTAATTTACAAAACTTTAATTTCTCTGATTTACAAATTACATTGAAAAAGTAAACTTCCATCTGGTAAATGTTGTTAAAGTTTGGAAACGATCATTATAAATGAATTATTTAAAATTAGTCAAAATGTTTACCACTTAGGCTTAAACTCGGCTAAAGAAGAGCTAAATATAACACAAGAAGCCACAGCAGGGCAGACAAACTACCTGTCATTAGGCTGTTGAAGGGAGGGGGATTTTTTTTTTTGTTCTAGGACGCTAGGCACGAGCCTGGGATTGTTTTTCACATTACTTCAGGCTAGACCTAGGGGTTGCGGCATTATCACTTAGATAAATCCATTGGTGACTTGGCGGGGATCGAACCCGGGACCTCACGGACCGAAGTCCCGCGCTCTAGCCACTACGCCAGCTCGCTCCCCGAAGGGAGGGGGATTACAAGCATATTAAAATTAGATCAACCTTTTCCCACACAGGACTATTATAAGCTCAATTTTACTTAACAAGTTACGGTGGTTATTAAAAAATGTCTTTTTTTACCTACAGTTTAAATTGTGTGACTATTATTTCTTAAAATTTAAAATAATAAATAACTAGCCTACATCAGAAGTGATCGAAAATTAACACTATGTAAAAACTAAAAAAAGAATCAAGAAAGTGCAATAACTTATTACAAAGTATTACAAATGTTTTTTATTTGCTCAGTTTACGATATCGTTTAATTCCTAATTCTAAATCAAAACTAACGTGACATATAATTTTAATAAACCCGGAATAACAAATATGCAAGGCTATAAATTAAAAGCTTGCAATCTAAAAGAAGAAAATTAGCAAACTATTTATACAGGGTGTCCATAAAAAACGTTTCAGGACTTAGGGAAATGAATCCTCATACTAAAGGGAAGAAAAAAGTTGATGTGAAGGTATGTCCGAAAATGCATATTCACCCAGTTATCCGCCATTTTGTTTTTTATACAAAAGTATTTTCATCTGTGAAGTTTTTCGTTCGATGATTATAAAATTGTATGACCATGTTAAAATGCACAAGACCTATAATAGAAAAAATAATAAAGTTTTTCCGATTGTAAGTTTAAAAATGGCGGCCGTTTAAATTATCCGAACATACATAACTCAAAAACGGCTAATTATATGAAAGAATGTCAAGAATACTGTTTTTTAGAATTTTTAATTCCCTATGAAACAATACCAAGATCAAAATGATCGGAAAATTTAGGGTTCCCCGACTAACTGTGCCTTATATTTACACAAAAAACGTTTTTAATTTACAATTGGATAAACTTGATTATTTATTCTACTATATAGGTATTGTGTATGTTACCATGGTTTCCAAATTTCATAATTATCGAACGAAAAACTTGACAAATAAAAATAATTTGTATAAAAAACAATATGGTGGATAACTGGGTAACTATGCAATTTCGGAAATATCTTCACAAAAACTTTTTTCTTCCATTTAGTATGAGGATTCATTTCCTAATGTCCTGAAACGTTTTTTATGGACACTCTGTATAACGATTGCGTTTTTGTACCTATACTTACTGCATTATTTTATGTAAGCACGTGATGGCTAACTTAACATAATTGATTGACACAGATTTTAGAGTATATTAAGTGATTTACAATTTATAAGGCAGTCCTTGTGCAATATTAGTTTTTGTAAATTGAATGTTTATATCAATTTAATAATGTAAACTCATAAAAAATAAAGATATTTTGTACGTTTATTTAGCTTTACAACTATCGTATCTTATTATTTTACGCATTATCGTTTGGTCAACATCCAGTGCATTTAATAATAATAGTAAAACGCAACCTCAACAATCAAAACGAACAATGGTATCCTTTAAAACTATAAAATTAATAGCCAAACTGGAAACCGACAACTTAACAATCTCCAAAACACGATAGGGCTCCATTGCTGCATATACAAATTAGAAGTAGGCAGTAATTCAGGAAATCATTTAAACTAAGGGAAATGTCTTTGAGATGTAGATTAAAATCTTTAAATGTAAAGCTATAAATCAGATCAAACCAAATCAGAAAATAACACTCGATAGACACTCCATCACTCAGTTGTCATAAGAAATATAATTGATGGAAATAGAGGAAACGCCATATTGTATCAGACAGTTAAGGTTCAAAGGAATAATAAACATTTCAAATATATTTGACTCTGGATGAAGTCTCACAATTGAAGAGGGATTTCGTAAACTGGCTCCTGGCCTCCTGGTCACACCGTCACAACGTTCCAGCTAATTGTCCTAATCACTGAGCTCCTAGTGAGGTCAATACAACATAAACCCCCGCCGCAGCAACCTGCAGACTATGCGAATTTCCATTTGCCTGATTGGATTTACACTTAATATATCCATTACCACATTTATTCCCTATTTAAATTTTATGCATTAGTTAAATGATTAGAAATCTAAATATAAAGCAATAAAAACTACTCTTAATGGATTGAGATATACAATGTCAATTTTTTTACGTTGTGTAAAAATATTATCTCTATTAGTTGTTAACATATTATCACAACAAACCGACAATATAGGTTGTTTCGAATGCCCTTTGGGCGCTTACACAAACCAACCGTTCGTTACAATAATATACTAAATCCTCCTACTATGAATTCATCATGCATATATACTTTTTTTAAAGGTTTCGCCTGTGTATTATGGTTTTTTTTTCAATTACGAGTAATATTCCATATTCGAAAAGTGCATAGTAAAGTAATTTAATATTTTTTTCCTGTGTATATTATTTTGTACATTAGAGAATTCTAGAATTCTCGATAAACTATTGTACACAATTTATTTTTCAACTATCTTTGGACCGAATAACACCAAAAAAATACAACACAATAGAAAAATCTGCTAAGGAAGGCTGTATTCGTCGTTATACTAATTTTACTTAATATACCAAAATTATATTTTTTGTGTCATTTTAGCATTGTAAAATTATTTACAAAGGAGTTAAAATTAAAAGTATTTAAGAGAAAACATTATTTGGCTTTCGTAGTACAAACTACATCTTAGATTTATTCGATTTCATTTATTAACACCTTTCATAAACCAAATGAGATATAAGGTGAAAATATGGGGATCATATTTCATGAACCTCGCTGCTGGTGTAATGCTGCTGCTATCAGCGCGCATCTCTTTCAGCTTTGGGCTTTGTCCAACAAAGATATAAATTTAAAACAACAAAAATATCCGCAATATTACTATTGATACCACTTCATGTAATGCACAAATAAACGATCGTATTTGAATTTCAAATATTTATCTTAAATTTTTCTGCTCTTTACGAAACGCATTTTACAACAGAAAATACCAAATGGATTTGTTGGGATGGGAGTAAGAGTGAAAAAGAAAAGATATCATAGTGACTACAATAATCCTAAACTCATCTGCAGCCTCCCCCATAATTTAAAAATTATCTCCTTTGTAGTGAATATAAAGGCAATACAACTTTTTCTATATATACAGTTTCATTTTATTATTATAAAACAGGTTGGTCTTACAATTTTTCAACATTTTTATATAATATAATAATGCTGATAACTTTTTCTAACATAATGGGGTTATAACCAAATTACAATTGTTATAGACACGTATACATCTCGGCAAACATTAAGCCTATTTGGAGGTTAGAATGATTAGTGCATGTAATAATTATTAACTAGACATTGTGTTGGTTAGAAATAATTTACCATGGGTGAATCCTTTTCTTAACTGTGATTTTTCTTGACACAATCCTCGTAGCAGTAAAAGGTTTTGTTTTAATAATGTGTGGTACAGTAATTGTTGTAAGAAAACCGTCATTGTAGGATACTATCC